TGATGTCCTCCTCGGGATTAAGAAGCTGAAGCCATGACAGAGACATCATGTTTGAAAACAAGGGATGGTACGGGGGGTGAGGGTCAGGATCGGTGCTGTCAAAGTTGAAGTAGCGGAGAAGGAAGAGATTGGGTTGTGTGTTGTGGTGTAGAATAGTGAGGGTGTTGCGTTTGGCGAATGGTAATTCCAGATCATCTGGTCGCCGTCGCTTAGCAGGTCGAGCCTCTGATTTCGTTTCTTCGCTGGCCGCCTCCACCTGAACCTCGGGAATTTCCTCCTGTGGCTGCTCAGCATCGTCGGTGTTTTCATGCAGTATTCCCATCCGTTCAGCAAGAGAAGCTGTCAACAGACCGCCGGTATCGTCAATAACAAGCCATCGACCCCCAGACTCGTCTTCAGCGTCGTCTAAGTGCGGCGCAACATAATGAACATCTGCCCAGCACCCAACCAGAGCCATGGACTCGTTGCGCATCTCCATAATCTTGGAAGCGTCCTTGTCTTCCAGCATCCATTGCGCGAGCAGAGGTACGTCGAGCGGTAGAACTGTGAATCGGCGGATGTACTTCTTCGTCTTCAGTAGTTTGTACTTGGCTAAAGAATAGGCCGTTTTCTCCTCGATGGCCGTATGGGAGAGGAGAAGCTTAGCGATCAATTCTTTGCCTGCAGCTGTACCCTTTTTCTTCAGCTCCTCGATCTCTTGTATCGTCAACGTCTGGCGCGCCGACTCGTCGATGGCCTCTCCTTTCGATCGGATAACAACCTGGCCGCTAGCCTCGTCGACGAGGGTAAGTTCTTCACCGTCGGAAGGTTTGATAATCGTCTCGTCTTCGCCCTCTCCCTCTTCGGCGTCGGAGCTTGTGTCGGCCAATGCATCGGCGTTGAGCTCTGCTGCTGGTACCACGCGTAGGCGTGCAAAGTTTTCGTCTTCGCGCTTGTCTTGAATTTCGTACGTTAAGTGATACGGTCGATCGATGATCAGATTGCTGGGAAACGAGCCATATTTCCCGAGCGATATCGTACTGCGAACAAAGTCAGCCTTTGGAATAGCTAGGGTAGCGCTTGGGGTCTCACATATTGGGAACGATTTCTAGAATCTTGAAATCGTCGCTGGGAAGCTTTAGAGCAACCCAGCAATTGGGCTGTACTCTATCTCTAGACATTGCGATTAGGTTGCCCAGCAAGCCTCAAGCATTCCACAAGTATAGCGGTATTGTAGAAGCAAAAAGCAAGAATCTGGATGGGAAAAAAAGTTGACGTGCAGCTTAGCGTTCCCACACCGAAGCCACGATCCTCGGTGAGTTCCACAGTGGGGTCTCTGTTGCAAATCTCACCGAGAGCAACATCAGATGAAGACGTTCAGCTCCCAAAAGTCATCCGTCATCAATTTCATAGGTAAAGAATAATCACCATCTTTACTTTGAGACTATACGATATTTTATTCAATACTCGCCATGCTTCCTCGAACCTTTCGAGAGCCAAACGGCTTTACCACTATGCTCTTCACTGAAGTCAGTAGCCCAAATACTGCCGTGATCAAATAGAGCATAATGCTCAGACTTCCAAACAGAATCAGTGGCGCAATTGTGTAACTGAAAAGGTATACCAGGCCTCCGGATCTTTTGACAACGTCGAACAGTTCACCCTCCATAATCTCTGCAGCGCCCTCCCACTTCCAGGGGCCAACAATCCTAAACTTGGTATTGAAGTTGGATCCCATGGCCCAAGTATAGCAGACCTTGAGGCCCCTCCCCATAACATAAGATATTCTAGGTGCTGCTCCAATATCCAATGCTAGCTGATAGGCGTAGCTTTCATGATCGACACCGCCCTTGGTCTTTGAGAGATCATATCCAGCCCGTGGCTGGAGTTTCCAGTCCAGCTCATAGCTCTCTAGAGCGTTTGGGTCGATAATTGCTGGAACGGCACCTCTGACTTTATGCTGAAGAAGGCGCAAAATCCATAGCTGGGCTTGCAACTCGGCTAGAGGAGGTATCGCCCCAAGACTTGGGCGCACAAACCCGACGAAGCCAACAGTTACATCGTGGCTGCTATAAATCCTTCGTACATCAGCCTCCCCAAGCCCCGGGTATTCAGCAGTGAGGAATGGGAAGCTCGTTCGGTAACCTGTTGCTAGGACGATTACGTCTGGGACTATGCGCTTCGTGTTGCCGTCATCGTCCCTGACAACCATAGCCCCCTGATCATCAAACTTTTCGGGCCAGGTCAACACATCTATCCTTCTCCCTTTGGTGTCCTTTTTCGGCACATTGATCATGAAGGTTCTTTTCTTGTTCCACCAAGATTCCGATCGATGCCCGTCCGATATGTAGGGCAGAGCCCGGTCCGATTTACACATGAAAATGGAGTCGACATGCTTCCTCTCACTGCTCATATGCCCAACCCACTGATCGGGGCCCTCCTCGGTTCCAGATATTAACATGTGCATTCCTTTAACCCATCTGTCATACACAAGCCATGGCAAGGGGCTGCGCTGAAGAGCCGGATGTGTGTACGCAGTGTCAAACAAGCTGGCGACCGAGCAATCTGAAGGTTTGTTGGGACGGGTCTGGACCACCTTCTCCCCTCTGACTTCCGGTATAGGAATCACCTTCGGGGCGCAAAAGAAGCCTCCTCTGTGGCAGATGGAGACGGAGCGTGTGGGGGCTGTGATGGCAAGATAGCCGATGTCCATGGCGGTCTCGCCCGCCCCCAGTATCACCACGTTCGAGTTGTGGCCGAACTGCCCCCGAACCTTGACCTCAGAAGAATGCAGGACGATCGGAACATTCTCCAGCCCTTCCATGTGAAACTTGTTTGGCGTCACATTAAGCCCGGAGCATATTGCAACGGCATCACATTGCCATTCTTCGGGCTTCCCACCCTTCCGTACGAAGCAAACATTGTGTCCTTGGCCAAGACGTCTTACTTGTTCTACCCTCGTAGAGCATTCAATCTTACTCCACAACCCGAAGTGACTCGCGTAGTCATTCAAGTACTGCACATACTGCTCCGGTGTGACGAAGTCAGGGGCGGTTGGGGAGAATCGAAAGTCTGAGAACGCTGTGAGATACTTGGAGGATACAAGCTCGGCATCTTCGTAGACCCTCCAGACGAACGTTCCACCAATCTTCTCTTCCGATTCAAACAGCCGGGCATCGATCGGCGGTATATCAAAGTACTTGTGGGCTTCCAGCAGAAACTTGAGAGTAACGAGCCCCGATGGGCCTCCGCCAATGACCGCAACCTTCATCGAGACGGTAAGCGAGTGCTCCAAACTTTCTGCAGTATGCAAGTCAATTGAGTGATTAAGAACGCAAGCACTCTAGATTCTTTTTGGGATTCGGGGGCCAGCCACGGAATTTTAGTGTACTATTATTCAGGATACCAAGAGTACATGTAAGCCTCAAACTCACGACTGATCGCCACTTCCTCTATATCACACTTGATGTCATTCTGACCGACCAACATTGCCGAACTAGCAAATTATTGTTTCTGGATTAAGGCATGGATGGATCAGAAAAGGCTTGATTGGTCTTCTGAATACCACGAGATCGACCAGGGGCCATCCCAAGGCACTAAGGTGAAGCAATGTAACCCAATCAGAGTCAGCATGTCCTAAATTGAACTCCTATCTGCTGCCTGCTTACACGGCGCATATAGAGTCTAGGCCCCGACTAGAAAGGACATCTCGCTTAAGGACACACAACCATTAAGGCACATATGATTTCCAAGTGGGCCCCTTTAACAGTGCCAAACTACCAAAGTCAATGCCTGAAGGATCCTGTACAGCCTAAAGGGAGGACTATGTTGCCTAATCTTGGATCATACGAGACATGTCTCTCACCGAGTCTTGATGTCTTGATGCTACTAGGAAAGAACAGACTAGAATTTTTCCGAAACAAAGTTTGAACTTGGCCACTACATAAACCCGCGGACCGCGATGGAGGCCACCTAGCAAGACTTGTGATGCAGCCCGGAAGTTTAGGTGTTCTGCGCTCCCAACTGGTCCAGATCATGACAAATCCCTGATGTCTGTGTCCGGATTATTTGGGCGGTCTCACTGATGTTACTTAGCAACAGGTCAATGATACCGTATTTCTCAATGTTGATGCCTCTCTGAGCGATCTATACAAAGCAGAGCTCGGACAATGAAAGACTCTCTATTCTTTGATGGCCTATCTGTTCTCCTTTTCACCATTCTAATGCACGCTTCTGTATGATTTAGCTCTAGTACAGTGTGGTGCCTTACACGCAAGCTCTTAAGATAAACCAATTTTAAACTTGCACCTCGCATACGATAGAGGATCTCGAAAGCTTGGAAGCTCATCTAGAACGGCGGAACCTGCAAGCTTGATCGATCTGCCTTTTCCAAACGGGACTCGTTCGATAACGTAGGATCACTAACTCCGAGACGTTAGACCTCATCGCTCTTTCACGATATTCTACTGTTCATCGTCGGTTTTCGTTACTAGCTAAACAGTAATTCTATCAATTTATCTGCATTCTGTGCTGATATTTCCATAAGTGATCATTATTGAATAGGCATGTCAATACGGTTAGTCGATTTATACCCTTTCTTTGTCTTCAAATTTCCTAACGTTAGCCTTCTCTACTCGTTATATAATCACCAACACTCAACCAAGTTCCCAAGATCTCTCATCATGTGACTGAGTTTGTCTGGACTTCTGCTTGAAGGACCCACGATGATCACCAACTAACACACTCGGCGGATCCTCATCCCAACCTTGCGATCTAAATCGCGCCTCTCGATGCAAGTAAAACTCAACTTTCGATCCCAACCCCTTCATTTTGGGCTCAGTGACAATGAATCCGAGACTTCATCTTGAAGGCGTCGAGAATGTGAGGAGAGTGGTAATTCTCGAGAAGTACAAGAAGGGCCAGGGAGTCGGCATCGATCCCAGAAAATCATCAACAACCAAACTCATCTACTATCGTCTACTGTTAAGGAAAACCACTACAGACAAAGAGACGTTGCGAAGATGCGTGCCAGTATCATCGCGGCCACCCTTGCGGGTGCTCTCGGGGTGACAGCCTACGACAAGGCGCTCGAGAATGCCCTTTCCCACATCCACCGCAGCGGATGCGGCGAGCTTGACGGCTGTGGGAAGCATAACAAGGGCTCCTACATCCCTGATGGAAAGACGTTCATCTTCCCTGATAGGAACTACGAGCATGGCAACCGATGGGAGCTCATAAACAAGCATCCCCATCACCACCATGGTCATCACCATGGCCACCACCACGGCCACCACGGCCACCACCATGACCTCCACAGCTATGTCAACTTCGACTTCCGCGAGGAGTCCCTCATCTTCGACTTCGAGAAGATCGAGGACTGCAACCACCTCAAGTTCAAGGAGAAGCTTCGCTACGAGAAGATTGAGATCAAGGTTGCCGTGGACAAGGCTCACTTTGACAATGCCCGCAGCTACAGCCTCAAGGACGGACACTGCCATGAGCACGATGGCCGTTACCGCTGCCGCCTCCCGTACAATGAGCTAGTCCACGGTGACCACCACGGCCTTTGCCACAACAAGGAAAAGTTCGGCAAGGAGCTGTTTGTCAAGATTGAGACCGTCATTGCTGCTGGAGAGGAGCGCTACGAGCTTTGCAACCGCGGTGGGCAGGAGAGAGAGTACTTCCGTCTTCGCTACGCCTGCACCGAGTAAGTCACCCCGTGCCGAGTCGGTTTATAACCAATGCAAGTATACTAACATGCTTCTGTCAGGTGCAAGTTTAACGAGTATGAGAAGGAATGTCATCATAAGCCTCATCATCATCATCACGGTCATCACCACCATTGCCCAGAGAAGCACCACCACCACGGCCACCACGGACATCACGACAAGCATCACAAGTGCTGCCACAACAAGCATCATGATCATCACAAGCACCATGACCACAAGTGCTGCCACGACCACAAGCACCATGATCACCACAAGCACCACCATGGCCACAAGTGCTGCCACGACCACCACAAGCACCATGACCATAAGCACCACCATGACCACAAGTGCTGCCACGATCACAAGCACCATGATCACCACAAGCACCACGACGCCAAGTACCTCGACTACAAGTTCGAAGCCCATAACCCTAAGCACCACGATCACAAGCACCACGACAAGCACCACCACGGCTGCGGCTGCCACAAGCACCACGATCACAAGCATCACGATCACAAGCACCACCACGGCTGCGGTTGCCACAAGAACTACCACCACCCCCACGGCCCCCGTGATCTCGAGACCCTTGAAGTCGTCCAAGCCCGCAACGTCGAAGCCCCCGCCGCCGAGACCCGCGATGTCGAAACCACCACCACCACCAACCTCGAGACCCGCGGCCGGTACCGCAACCCCGACCTCGCCTACGAGTGCACCGGCACCTTCCTCGAGGCCTACGGCACCGGCAAGTACTCCCACCCCCTCAAGGAGATCGGCTGCGGCCACGAGGGCTACTACCACCGCTACCCCAAGAAGGAGCTCGAGGTCTCCGTCCACGGCCCCGTCGAGCTCAACGGCCACACCCTCGGCCACTTCTCCGTCGTCCTCGACAAGCGCCGCGAGGACGTCGTGCTCGCCATCGACGTCCGCGTCCACGAGCCCGAGTACTTCGTCACCGAGATCGCCGCCATCATCGTCTGCGAGGAGGGGCTCAAGCAGAAGGACAAGGACATCTGCACGCCCTCGTCCTACCCTTACCGCCGCCACGACAAGCGCGGCCTCGACCACTTCCACTTCGACATCGTCGACGAGTTCCAGTGCAAGGGCGACTACTTCATCGCCATCTACGTCCTCGTCTGTGTCGCCGAGGACAAGTGCGAGTACAGGAAGGTCGGCGACCGCTACCGCTACCCTTACTAGACAAGGTCAGTTCCGCAGTAGCATCATCTCTCTGCTTGCACGACAAGACAAGTTTTCCCATCTAGTAGGGAGGTTGGTTGTTGCTTTGACCTTAAAAAAGGGGGGGTCAGGATCTAAGAGGTGGATGGGGCGAGGAGACAGGAAATTTCAACAATGAAGAATGTTAAAAATTAAGTTGACACATAAAACATATACGGCTAGTTAGTTGCTATTTAGCTCCATACTTCCTTCCGTCAGACAATGAAAAAGTTTATCTTGTCTTTTCAAAATCTAGTCTCGGTCCGCCTTGAGCCAAGTTGTTTAAGATCTAGAACATTTTGATGTCCAAGCTAAGCCAAGGCTTGACATGTTGCCAGATGAAACTGGGCCAAGACTAGTATTGGTTTCTACCATGTTAGAAGGCTGAGTCAAGCAGCCAGCTCATTCATGTGACATCAACTGGTGATATCAGCCGACTAAGTTGAAAGAATTGGCGAACAACCAACATCACGTCAAAATTAGGTCACTAGCATGTTCTTGAGAGCAAATTCATTTTCGTAAGGGGTATTTCTATCAAGTATCGTAAGGCTTCGTATCCACCATCATGCTCACTCCAGTAACATGAGAGTATAGGATAAGGTTTCGGCGTGCCCAGACGCCAGTGCCCAATTTGTATCATCCTTGCGCGCGAGAAAAATCAAAAACACCAAAAGTAATGGAAACGCCTGGAAACCCAGTCCGAGGGGCCGATCAGGACCAATTGGGGGCATAGGTGATGAAACCCATGAGGCAACCTGCGATGAGGCCAGAGGTGGGTACGGTGATGAACCAACCAAGGTAGACCCAGGCAACCATGCGCCAGTTAATAGCTCGCCAGTCGCCATTGCACAGGCCGACACCGACAATGGCTCCGGTGATGCACTGTGTGGTAGAAACGGGAAGTTCTGTATATCATTTAGTAATGTGTTAATAGTTGAATGAAAAAGGACAAATACATACCAAGACGAGTGGCAATAACAATCGTAATGACAGTTCCCAACTCCATCGAGAATCCACGGGCGGGAGACATGAGGGTCATGCGGTTACCAAGATTGGACATGATACGGTAGCCGTAGGTCCAGACACCAACGACGATACCAGCACCACCAAAAGCCAGAATCCAGACGGGCACGTTAGACTTGGCGCCAGGAATCTTGCCGGAATCCCAAATCTGGTAGATGGAAGCATAAGGGCCAACAGCGTTAGCCACATCATTGGCACCATGGACGAAAGAGGCGGCAGAGGCAGTCAAGACCTGGAGGAAGGTGTAGAGGAACTCGGTGCGGTTGTCGAAGTGGGTAGCACGGGCATGGATCTCCTCCATGTCACGGCTGAGCACGGTGTCGGCCTTTTGGGTAGCGACAATATCGACATCAACACCGCGGAAAAGGGCGAACTTGATGGCCCACAAGATGAATTCCAACTTGTACCATGCCACCTCGGGCTTGGGCCCAACGATGCTCTTCTTCGGGGTGGCGGTGTTCTCGGCAGCGTCAGCAGAGTCACTCACGACGCCGTCGACAGTCTTGTCTTCGTGCTGTCCCTCAACGTCACCCTCTTCAGAGTGTTCGGCCGCATGACGAGCACGCCGGGCATCCAGCTCCTCCCGAGTTAGATGGCCATCGTAGAAGTTACGCACGGCGCCAGTAAAGTTGGGAGGTGGGGGCGGGACTTCCCCGCGGCGGAGCAGAAGAGGACCCTGTAGGATGTGCCAGGGGCGAAGCTGCCAGTCCTCCTTGATGACGACTCTGTAGATCCAGGGGACGAGGAAGACGGCGACGAGGATAGCGACACCAGCACCAGCGGCGACGATAACACCAGGCATCTGGGCCTCAGTGAGGTTCACGGTGTAACCGCCGCCCTTCCAGAGGAGCAGCATGACAATGAGCGAGGAGGTGACCCAGAAGTAGAAGGGAATGAGAACGAGACCCTTCATAGTGGGGTTCTTCCGCAGCAAGACACCGTACTTGGTGAAGAGGAAGATGAGGGAAGCAAATGTGCCAGACAGGACAGGGGCGATGATCCAAGCAAGGAAGACCTGAACAACGCCAGACTGGATGTTCACGGAGCCATCCGACTTGTATCCGACCCAAATGACAGCATTGCCGCCAAGAGCACCAACACCCATGCCAAGAACACCACCCAGGATGGAGTGGGTGGTAGACACAGGCATGCCAACCTTTGTAGCGAAGGTAAGGTAGAGAGAAGAGGCAATAATCGCACAGGTCATGCCCAGCATGAGAAGGGCCGGCGATTCTTCAAAGCGTTGAACGTCGACAACCTTGGTTCGGATGGTATCAGCGACACGGCCACCAACACCGACAGCGCCTGCGAACTCTAGAACAGAGGCTCCGCACATGGCCTGGAGGTAGGTGATGGAGCGCGAGGAGACGGACGAGGCCCATGAATTGGCGACATCGTTGGCACCAATGTTCCAGGCATCGAGGAAGGCGAAGATGGTGCCGACTGCGAAAAGGTAGTCGAATTGGTGGAGAACCATCTTGGGCAGCTAGCTTGCAAAGTGTTGATGAAAGAATTGATGCTGGATAAGTGATATGGTGTCCCAAGCGGCAGTATGTATAGTAGAGGTCTTCGACTGCCAAGCAGCAAGCAAAAGTAGCACACAAGGTGATACTTTATGTCTGCACCAGCCGCAGAGGGGAGGGGAGGAAGAGGTGGAGAAAGTGAGTGGCTTGCTGAAGCAAAGTAAAAAGAGAAGAAGGTTTGGGGGCTTGTGCCCGATATTTATATAGGTAGGAAAGCAAGCAGAGGAAAGGAAGAATGGAGAGCAGGTTGGGACCAGTGGCCAGCACAAGCATCTCAACCGTCGACGGGAGGGCGTGTGAGGAGCAAAGATTCGAAGTGGGTTGGATGGGGGCGTCGAAAACAACTCGTCTTGCCTTTTCCTGAAGCGATGTGGCCGTCGAAGTCTCCGGGATTGGCCCCAGTGCATGGGCCGGGAGGCTCCAGAGTCGCGTCGAGGTGGGAACCTGGCTGACTGCGTAAGTTATTGAATTGCTACAAGGTGAGGAGGGGAAAAGTGGCCTTGAGAGAGGGCATCCATATTGTACATCCCTACCAAGGGTGGAAGTCACTTGGGGCCTGCTTTGCCAGGGTACTTGCCGTCTAGAAAAATCGAATCCATAATACCTAAATCTTTGATCCCCCGGTGCTTCTAGCTGGTGGAGTACGTCTGAGCCTCTCGTGTGCGCGCTCTCCTGCCTCCAATTAGGGCCAGAGAGCTGGAAAAAGCGGTGTTCTGCAAAGAATCAGATCACTAGATGCACATTGAGCTGAAAAAGGAGCATCTGTCTCGGGTTTTGCCTGCCACGGCCATAGGGAGAGACATCCAAAAGCACAGGAAAACACGGTCGACCCGAGGGCAGACGGCTGTCATTGGCGCCGGCCCGAATGAGAAAGTGAGCGCGTGAGCAATCGCCTTTTTGGGAGCTGGTCCCTCAGCCATATGCAAGCAAGTGCAACAGCCGCAGGAAGCCTGTCGCCTAGCCGAGCCAGGTAGGCCCAGCCCAGTGCGGCGAGGGAGGAGGCGGGATTGATGGTGATAGTGGGCAGGGTTGCCACACTGGCGGCTCTGGCGTCGTCAGTCGAGCCTGCCTCAGTCACTATTTGCAGGGGTCTCAGGGAGGTGGAGTGGCAGCGAAGCGAAACATCTCCACTGCAGGACAAGACTGCTTCACCTAAGGAAGTACGAGTATACGAACCTCGTCTATTAAATATCTAATTGAGTAATTCGAGACCGTCATTAATTAAATCGGCCTGAGCAAGAGCTTCCTATCCGACAAACGATGCTGTTGGGACGAAAAGGACCAAGGTGACAAAGTGGGTAAGCACATGCCCCATCCAGCATGGACCTCTCGGCGAACACACAACAGGAAACAAGCCTATTTTCAACTCTAAATTTCTAAATTCTAGTTAAATTCTTGCATTGACTAAGTCTCTGCAATGGGGGCCATCACCACATTCACCCGCCAGCCACGAAGCCGGGGTTTTCGTTGCGGAACTCGTAACAGTAGCGTGCGGTATTTGCATCATCACTCTCACATCTTGCAACTTAACTCGTCGTGCCGGTGACGTTGACGGCGATGGTACGACTCAGCGAGACCAAAGAGCAAAAAAAAAAGCAGCGAAATGCTACGGTGTGGAGAGGTATCATTAGTGGGTGGAGTGGGGGATGGGGTTGATCTTCTTGAGATCTCAACCAGTGACAGATCTAAATCCAGCACGTGTGCCAGTCATTGGTGGTTCTGAGTCTCTTTCCTCCCCCTGTGTGCGGGTCAACTCAATGTGCATAAAGCCCCTGTTGATCCCCACCTCAGGCATGCAAGATCTGTCCAATTAGACTCTGTATGTTGAGCACGTTGATAAATCTTGCCATTTGGTACGTATGGACTAGGACATGCCTTGACGCAGAGCACCTGTGAAGCTGCACACACCCCTCTGTCAGCCAACACCTGAGTTGATGGACATCGGGAGTGCCCAGGTGGGTAAGACTACGAAGCTTCATGACAACATTTTGGACAATCCCCAAACCCCAAATGTCTCGAGTTGTTGGAACTCCAATCAAGAAGAAAGAGAGCCATGATTATCGAAATCATTGATACTGGTGGGCATTGAAACTGTTCACATGCATCATCACAATCATCACACATCATCACATACACAAACACCTTGCATCAGGAGCCATTGTCCCCCCTGGCTGACACGCAGAAGCAAAGAAGCGTTCATGTCCATGAATGCAGCGCATCTCAGCCCTTAACATAGAGGGTAGGTGTGTGAAAGGCAGGGATGACAAAAATCGTAAGAGCTCACGAGACTGATTTCTCGACCTAGAAATTGTGACTGGGCTTCTTCCCCGGGAGTCAATTTCCCTCTCGGCACTCATGCCGACGGCTTCTTGGCTCTTGCCTAGGCGAGCAATGATGAAATAGCTCAGAGTTATTTTGACAATGACGGGGATTCATCATCGGTCAACTTCATGGTCTGCCTCGTCGTGAAGTCAAGAAATACTTTTACCCAACTAAGCCACTCCTTCCATCAGTACGAAAAACATGATGAAATTGAATCAAAATATCGCCAAGGGCCTTTTTATCTTAGCAAATACATCACTAATTACAATGGTCTTGTTCTCGAGAAGTGACCCCTTCCTCAGGACCTCAGCCCCTGTTTCACATCATCAAACCACAAGATCAAACTTTCTAACGCCGGGTTCGTCCCGCTGATGGATCATCACTATCGATGCGCCCCGGCGGGAGGTACGGCCCCGGTTCGCTTTGCTTACGGTAGGTAATAAGCAATCATGCTTATACGCAAGCTTCTCCCAGGCCAGGCACGTGGGCCGTTCTATTGGCTCAGAGGCTCTTGGCCGTGAGAGCTTGCAGCCTTAGAAGACCAGTGGAAGACTTCTAGAAAAGAATTCTCGAAAGATGACATGTTCGATGTGGACCTAGAAGTATCACAATCCTTTCTTTTACGTACTCTTGATAAAAATGTGACGATTTTGATGCGCAGTATCTAGTTGCGTTTACGCAACACTAGAACAGGACCTTATTGAATCTCGTCTTATTCTGCCCACGTATCCGCGAGGCAGCTGATACGGGGCTATCAGTCCACTCTCGAATGCTGAGCTCTCTCGGTCTACTTTCACGTTGTCCAACCACTACGGTCAAAATTTGCATCCCCTGTTGTTGACCTGGTGTTAGTGGCAACCCAGAGCTTCAGAAGGGGGAACTCCTCTCTTAAGACGTTATACCAAAAGTCCATTTATTTTTCTCGCGCCTCATATCATTAATAGAGCTAGATGGGCTGAAGCGTCGTTTATTCAAGCGAATAGCTCTTTTTTATGGTCTGGAAGAAAGGACTCAGCTCTGATGAACAAACTACTCGTTTCTGCTTGGCAAAATTCGGTTCGGTTTGCACACTCCGGTTTTTCTTTAAGGGGATATCATAAATAGCGCTTGCCTCGATGCTTTCCATGTGTCTAATATTTCTCTGCGCACCTTACTAGTCCGAGATTGCAGGTCAAAGAGCTGGCGAATGACCAAAAGCGCAACTCGCTGCATTGCCCATCGTCGGATGGATGCGCACGCGTCATGCACAAGATAAAAAAACAAACCCGAGCTCACAGTTGATACTTCATAATAAGTACCAAATGGCTATCGATATTTTACAGAGCTTCATCCACAATATAAGCAAGTTAGGTATTGGACATGACGTACAAGAAAGAATACACAGCGTCTTTAGATTTCTATATGACTGCCTACAGTCATATGGCGCCTCAGCTGCTCTATAACATCAAATTGAATTCGGAAATACTCATCACTAAGCGTCGAACTCGTCACGGTAGCAATTTCTCTGATCTATTGAAACCTGTCCATTCTCGCCGGGGGGAAAGGGCAGAGTTGGTGGTGAGTTCGGCCTGAGCTCGCGGTGATTTCATGGCTGTTGAAAACAAAAATAAACACGCAAAAAAAGAATGCATCTGCTCGGATTCGAACCGAGGACCTCTCCTGTGGCCCTGTGATACTTCCTTTTGGGAAGTACACAGGGAAACCGCACAGTTGGAGTGCGCGACCACTGCGCCACAGAGCCTGTTGCCGAATGACGGTAGGAATACCCGGGGAACTTGTATATAATGTATTACCCATAGTGCGCTGGCTGGGGGCTGTTCTAGGCAGCAGTGAACCTTATAGGTCGAGGAAAGGTTACTTGGCCGCCAACAGCTATGAGAAGAGCAGGGTCCGGGGATTTCAGGTAGCACCAGGTGTCTTGTTAGAAACAGCTGATTTATAAGGGTAGTGTCGTCGTATAAGCAGGCATCAACCATCACGCCTAATAACGAGTATGAAGGCAATACTACGTGTGAGACCTAAATCGTCCTTGAAACTAAAAAAGCCGATCGTCTGTCCATGTTTTCTAATACACAGCAGACTCAGTTCAGACTTGCGCGCAGGGCAGATGTGAGCTTATCAGGAATCTCTCCGTACCTGCTAACATAGGTACTTGTAAATACTAAATGGGGTTTGACTTATTCTGGGTGCATCCTCTGGCTTCTATGATGATTCTTGCCGCCAGAACACTCAAGATTCCTAAACCTTGCATAGACCAGGACTACCCACCTACTTATCAGAACATGTGACAACTCAGAACCTTTCATATTACGCAGCGAGGACAAGCCCAGCCTTGAGGTTACCAGTAATGATTGGCATCAAGGTGAGGTCGGGCGCCAATTTTTTTCCTAAATCAACAAGGTTCCTTCCTTGAGCGATGACCAAGCTGCGAGTGAGACGTCCCAAACCGTTGTTCAGCTCCATTCCATCTCGAAGCCAAAGCGAGAAATGATGAGCCATCTCTTTCAAGTCAATTGAAATTCGATAGGCGTTCCTTCCTTGAGGGTGACTGGGATCGAGATCGAGGCTCCAGAGGAGACGTCAGCGCCTTCCTATGTCAACGGGCCGTACCTTCCCTAACGGCGACGAAGCCTCAGGCATGCCACACAGACCAAATGGAAGGCAAGAATTCCAGAAGTGTCCAAGCACTGGCATTTCTTCAACTCGACCCGCACCTTAACATCACATCCTTTCGCTTCTTCTCTTTTCTTCGTCGTCCACCTCTGCGTTGAAGTTATCTCTCCTTTCTCCACAAGCTACACTCCGAACGTCTGGTAAGCCACCTTAGCACCCATTAGTTTATCATGAAGATGCATTCTAACACGCCATTTGATAGCTGCCGGCCTATCCACACCAACCCAAAGACAATCAATTCTCCCACCGAAGTGAGTTCTATCGGAGAATTCTTATCGCCATGAAATACTGATTGCAATAGGGTAGAAATGACAAACAGCCAGGACAAGCAGGACGTGCTCCGTTCCATCAAGACTTTTTTGCGCCAGTACAAAGAACGTCGCCGTCAAGGTTCACGATGCTCGAACGTAAGTAACATGCGTGTTGGTCTTGACCGTACATTGCTAATCAGTTATCTATGAAGTGCAACAAGCGAGGGCATAAGAAGGCCCAGTGCCCCATGCTGAAAAACAACACTGGCGGCCAAACGTTGTCAACAATGCCTCTTGGAATGGATAAACCGCAAACCGGTGACACCAAAGCCGAACTTGTCCTGGTCACAGCTGGACCAGCGATATAATGACACGTCCTCCACTCGTCAAACCAAACGAGTAAAATCAGTAGCCAAGGCTATGCATCTCTTTATTCACAATGGAAGAAACATGGGTGTGGATTATATTGTTTGTATTTTGGTCATGCCATGTGAAGACGTGGTCAGTGTATAGGGTAGGGCCGTCAGCTGGAAGATCGACAAGTTTTTGTGTTATGCGATTGTTCCTCTTCCATCGTGGCTAATTTTGGTGGAGAAAAAAAATACCTGTCACCAATGTACCTAGGTGGTTAATGGTCACATTTAATTTGACAGAAGACTCAGTTTCGTCCAGTATGTCCCAACCTGAGTGCGAGAAGTGGAAGCGTCAAGCTCGGCTTGGTTGCTGTCGGCACGACCTACCATTTGTTGGTTCGAGATGAATGGCCAACAACCGAGAATGGCGCGAAAGGCTATTTATTGGTCCGGTCAATTGCCTCTGTTTGGCTCTTTCTGAATGGCCGAGGATCCCCTCACTACAACATTACTCCAAGGGTCAGGCAGGATCCGGCCCGATTGAGCCGTTATGTCGTATTTGAGGGTAGCCAAGCTCCCAATACTGCATCAGATCAGCGACACCCGACGCTTGATTCAGGGATTGCGCATGACTGTGAGACGAAGGGATGGAAAATTTAAGCAACCGATCTCATCTTGATGTCTAGTGCATCCAGCAGATGAGGTGGGAATGGACCCGAGACAATGGCACAGCCAGAGTTCCGCTTGCTCTCTTGGTCCCTTCGGCTGGAGCGAAGGGCTAAATAGAAAACACCCGTCGGGACCTGACGTTAAATAGCCGACGCAGCCTGATGAACAAGCGGTAATGGTTGCCCCCTTCGGGTTATCTTTGCCTCGACAGGCAGCCGTTCATAATGGTCAAGCCAATCAACCATGACAACTCCACTTTAGCCGTCACCTTTCGCAAAATCCCCATGGGGTGAGTAGGCCAGAACCCACATTTACTCCGTCTCCCCCGCGCAGTCTAAGGTCACCGGCTTCCTCCAAGAGGATCCTCAGACGGGACCAGCCAGGGCCAGGATCAGATGATGATGGGTTGGCATCCGTCTAGCAGGCGAGGTGCCAGTCATGCTTGACTGTACCTCCCTCGTCTCAACATCCATGACCCCACTTCAAGGAGGAGGAGTGTTACCATGTGTCGGCTCTGGTCGGGCATATAACTCGAGCGATCGCCCGGGAGCTTGAATTGGGGTTCCTTCTCCAACAGCGAGCCCCTCCAATACCTCCCACCGCTCTCCTGACATTGTATCCCCCCGACACGCCTCCGACGTTCGCCATGGGCTTCAAGGAGTATCTCAAGTCTCGGTCGCTGAAAGCACCAAGGGACAGCGTTACCAAGGCTGCTGAACTGACCGTCCGGGAATCCATATGGCCCATTTCCCTTGTCACGGTTCTGTTTTTCCTCTGGGGCTTCAGTTACGGTCTCCTTGACACGCTCAACAAGCACTTTCAGAACACATTGAACATCACCCAAGCTCGTTCTGCAGGTCTCCAAGCCGCCTACTTTGGGTGAGTCTAAACTCCCGTCGCTACAGTGATATCGAGTGAATATATTGACAGAGGAAAAGCGCATACCCTCTGGCATCAATTGGCCATGCCGCTTGGATTCTTCGACACTATGGTTACCGTGCCGTCTTTATCTGGGGATTGGTTCTGTACGCCGTTGGAGCTTTGATTTCCATCCCTTGCATCAAAGCCAAGTCTTTTGGTGGTTTCTGCGCTGCTATTTTCATCATTGGAAACGGGCTGGGATCTTTAGAAACTGCAGCAAATCCCTTCATCACTGGTAAGCAAACCGAATCTTCCTGTACCCCATGCCTAAAATGCAATCTTAACATGTCTCAATAGTCTGCGGCCCTCCAAAGTACTCCGAGATCCGAATCAATCTGTCACAGGCATTCAATGGAATCGGCACCGTCATCGCGCCTGTCCTCGGCTCATATGTCTTTTTCACCTTTGACGACGAAGCTGCTCTGGCCAACGTACAATGGGTGTACCTTGCTATTGCTGTCTTCGTTCTTATTCTCGCTACCCTCTTCTTTTTCTCTAACATTCCCGAAATCACGGACGCTGGTAGGAGTATTTCCCCTTGATGGTTAGGAGACACGTTACTAATGGAACTTAGATATGGCCTTCCAAGCGCAAGAAACCCACACCGACGCGGACGACAAGCCTTTTATCAAGCAGTATAAGCTTTTCCATGCTGCTTTTGCTCAGGCTTGCTACACAGGTGCACAAGTCGCGATTGCTTCATTCTTCATCAATTATGCCGTGGCCACCAGACCCAACACCGAGGCCGATGTCGGGTCTCAGCTGTTTGCGGGAGCACAAGCGGCTTTCGCTGTTGGACGCTTTGTAGGCGTATTCGTCATGAAATACGTGCGCCCTCGTTTGATATTCTTGGCATTCTTGACGGGCTGCATCATCTTCCTCATCCCCGCCATCGCGATACCTTCCTCCGGCCTCCAAGGAAACGCAGGCGTGGCCATGCTGTACCTTGTTCTGTTCTTCGAGTCGATCTGCTTCCCGACCATTGTGGCGCTCGGCATGCGTGGTCTTGGCCGGCACACGAAGAGAGGCAGTGGCTACATTGTTGGAGGTGTTGTGGGCGGAGCCTTTGTGCCGCCATTGACTGGTTTGGCCGCCGACAGACACGGGAATGGTGTTGGCATGGTCGTGCCGCTTTTCTTCTTGGTAGCGGCCTGGAGCTACTCATATGCCGTCAATTTCGTGGCCAACTACGTCAAGGTTGTGGATGCTCTCGGCGACGCCGATATTGGCTTGCAGCACGCAGAGGTTGATGAGAAGGGTTCAAAGACTAGGCCGTCGGTGGAGGAGAAGGCAGCAGTCGGGCACGTACAGTAGACAAGAAGGATGGGGGGCATTGTATTCGGAGTGAGCGTTGTATGGCTCAGCATTAATTTAGGTTCTTCGCCGTAAATAGTCACGAAGGTCTATAGGAATCACAATAGATGTTGTTCTCATTCACAAGTCTATCTACTCTAGCACTGGGTCTGACCACTCTTCATTGTAAACTCTTACCTATTCATGTCTACATCCTGTGTAATAAGTTCCTGGATGTAGTCGCGTAGACTAGAAATTGGATTGTTTAGACAAGAGTTGTAGCTTTGTTCTGTCTGTCTGTTGACAAAGGCGAATTGTCTACACTTTCGTCTGATGTCAAAGTTTGTATGTTCATGAAAACAACAAGCGAAATGCTTCCTGGATAACAAAGGAGATATGTTAGCCGCCACAATAGATAGAAACCAATAAGGCTTGGATATAATTTCACAACTATCTCCATCGACTTCAAACTGGCTCAGCAAGTTACACACAAGCAACTTGATCTTCTAACCTCCAGTCACCCACCCACTCACTCACTCAATCAATCAATCAACAGCCGCCTTAAAACAGGGAACCGGAATTAAACATGCCTTTTATTGCTACAGGAACCACCGGCGTGCAGTATGAAACCAGCCAGTTGCGGCGCTCAAGCAAGGACTTGATGGTAGATCTGATGGCAACCAAGGTCCCTGTTACAAGGCCAGCCGCCCAAGCTAGCATGGGAAAGTCTTCTACTACGGAGAATACCTCGAAGGAGATGGAGGCCGCGAGCGCACTCGTGTCTCTTTCCTCGGTTCAAACTACGGCCGAGGATGTGGAGGCTGCTAATATCCTACTGGCCATGTCGAGGTCTTGAGATGGCGGTGGTTAGTCGGGCATGACGTCGGGAACGTCCTGTCTGAGTGTCGGAAGCTGTCTTTGACAGTGTGGAAACGACGAGTGGTGGGAGATTATTGGCAGGGAGGTTGAGGCAGGAAGAGGGGGTTGGGGTCTGTTTATAAGTTGGACATAGAGTGCCTAGAAATTGGCATGGTTAATATTGGATGAATTGCTGATGATAAAACATATATTTGTCTTTTGCTTTTCTCTTGCGCAAGCTTCTATCAACAGTAGCTGGTATCAGATCAATCGTTAAAAAAAGGAAACGTAGCAGGCGAAAGCAGCCGCTTGATTGCCTCTATGCACTCTATGTTCCGTTTCTCCTCTTGCCACCGCGCGTGCTCCTATCAATGTGGCCCCTCAACACCTTTCTCGTCTCGACCAGACTCCTCTTCTGTTTGCTCTTGGCTTTGCCCAGGGTCATCAAGAAGTTCTTCTTGCGTGCCTTCTCGCGGTTGCTGGTACTCTTGCCGGCCGCGTCCTTCTTGGACCTGTTGATTGCCCGGGTGCTCTTGTGCTCCTCGCGCTCGGGCTTGCCCTCCTTGGCCAGGGCGACCTTCTCCTCCTTGGTCAGCTTGCGGAGTCTGGCCGGGGCCTCGATGTTCTCGGCCGTCACGCCGTCGTCGAGGTGGCGAGAGGTAGGGTTATTGTTGGATTGACCCTTGCGGACCTTTCCGCCCATGGCTCTCTCGAGAGCTGCCTCCGTGCGGAGCTCCTGGAGTTTCGCCAGATCTGCCGGTGTCAGGATGGTGGTTGTGGCGAGCTTGGCCATGCGCTCGAGCTCAGCGGCCCTCTCTTCCTCATTCTCCTCTTCGTCATCGGAGGATTCCTCCCCACTCTTGCGCTTCTTGGGGGCCGGGGCTTCATCGTCAGAATGGTCCACGTTGATCCAGTCGCCGGAGACGCTACTGTCGTCTGATTCGACCTCCCAGTCGTCTGAGTTGAAGCCGTCATCCTCGTCCTTGTTTTCCTCATCGCTTCCTGCGGTTTCTGGTAGGCCCATTTCAACACGTTTCCGCTTCTTCTCTTCCTCCTTCCACTTGGCAAGGAGTTCTAGACCCTCGATACCACCCGACTCCTCTTCTCCGAACTTCATGTTCTTCAGTGTGCCGGCCCTGAGGCCAATGGTGGCGTCCTTGCCTCGGTCCTTCTTCTTCAAGAGTTCGGGATCGACCTCTCTGAAGAGCGACAAAAGACCCTTGGCGGCCATCATGACACCCTTATCCTTGCTCTTCCGGTACTGAACAAGATCCTGAAGCAGTGTATCGGTCATAGCAAGCGGCTGTCTGGCGCAAATCTCACGAATCGAGTTGAGACCGGCGGCTGCGACCTCGGCAGCCGAGGCCTCCGACACGAATTCATTCGCAATCTTCTGTAATAAAGGTTCGAGAACATCGGGGGGCACCAGATTGTGTGTGCCCTGTGCGAGAGAAGCAAGGAAGGACGTGACGGACTGCTGACGCGGCGTGAGGAATTTGATGAACCACGAGTAGAGCGAAACAATGGTCAGCTTGTGAAGACCGACAAGTCGGGTGATGAGTTGGAGGACGAGGAGCTTCGAGTCCAGGCTCAACTTGGCTTTGGTGTTCTGCAGATGCTTCGAGAAGAGCAGCTCCGAGAACTGCTGGGGATCGTGGAGGAGGTGGAAGGCAGAGAAGTTGAGGGGGTGAGGCTTGTTCTTCTTCCTCTCGGCGCGGTGGACCTTGTCGACGGCCTTCTCGTACGCCTTCTTCTGCTTCTTGGTCTTCTTGTTGATGCCGATCTGATGCCTGATCTTGGAGAGGTCCACCTCCTCGTCGCTGCTCTCGTCCTCCAACTCCTCACGCTCCTTGTCACCGCCGAGGAAGAAGCGGACTGCGCCGACGGCCACCTTTTCGTTGTCCGATAGGCAGGCCTCCTTCATGACGTCCACGGGCTTCGCGTCGGTCCATATTTGGCGCTTCCACAGTTCCCTCGTCAGCTTAATCGCCCAAATGGCCCTCGGCGAGGATCGGTCCGCTGTGACCATGTTGTAGAGGACGGTCTGGATCGTGCGGTTCAGAGGATGGTTGATGGCTTTGGTGTTCGAGTTTCGCATGTCGCTGAGAATCTTCTGGAACAGCACGGCCCTGAAGGACTTGCTGGGGGACGCAACGAGAATGGGGAACAAGCAGGTGAGCACGTTGGCGGAGTCGATGACTTCCTTGCGACGCAGCAGCATCAGACTGCCCACGATCTTATCCCGAAGTTCCGGCCCAAGGATCGTGTGGTGTTGCGACAGAATCGTCTTCAGGTCATCTGGGAAACTGGCTGTCTCTTCGGGGTAGCAGTCGGCGACGTGGGCGATCAGGTCGATCAGGTTCTGGAACGACTCAACCTGCTCGGACGAGGCGGCGGCCGGCGACACGAGGAAGATTTCGCGCTGGGACTCATACTGGTCGAATTGGCGTCGGAAGTCGTCAACGTATGATCTGTCTTCGCATTAGTCCAGCTGAGTTGGGTGAGACAACGAGAAGGCGATTCTTACTTGGGATCTCGACGGATCTTGTATTGCAGGCTCGCGCTATGAGTCCATGAGGTTAGCTGAGGCTTGAGGACCAGCGCATTACAATTGACACATACAAGTCTGCATCGATCTTCTCGAGCGCTGCCACTTTTCTTTTCGGCATCTTTGCTTTTGGTCACAACACAATAATGCGTTGTAAAAAGAATGCCAAAAGACCGGTCACTGAGTGGCGGGGGAAAGTGTATGGCTGGGCGTATTTGAAAATTTGGGAAAATGGGATAGCGATAAGCACTGATAAGCATGGCGGACCTGGATTTTTTTTGTTTAGTTCAGTTTGGAAGGCGACACTAGCGGTATACATCTGATAGGACAACCTACAGACGACTTCAACAAGACAACATGGAGAACAAGAGACTCAAACTTCGCGAAACCTCCAAATCTATCATTTTTAAATTGCAAGAAAAATCTATTATACAACCCATATCATGGGGTGCAGCCCGTCGTCCCTTCTATGGTCTACTCTAGGCAAATATAAAGACGATACCACGCTCAGTCCCGCGCGAAAACGTCCACCTCGTAATCAATTCTAGTCTTCTCATATGTATAAGTTTTGTTGTTTTTGGGAAATGAGTCGTCTAGGAAACCGGAAAAGGCTCTGTTTTCATGCCAAGAGAAATCGCAGGGACTCGGACAAGCCCAGCACTTGGGCACTGCCGAAGTCCCTACCACTCCGCAGCCTCAATCCAATTTCTCCCTACCAGTATGTTCTCCCAGAAAAGTTTTTACTTGGCGATCTCAACACCACCGGTGGCGTTGAAGTACTTCTTGAGGTCACCTGTATCAAACACATTAGCACCAGTCATTTCACCTCGAGTTATTCATTGCGGGAGAACATACCGTAGATGGCGAACTGACCAGCGGTCAGAGTACCAACCATGACCAGACGAGCACCAATACCAGTGAAAGAACCCTTAAGACCGAGCTCCTTGCCGATCTTGACGAGACGAGAGATGGTGCCCTCACCGGGGAGACCCTTGGTCTTGTTGATCTTGGAAAGCATGGTGTCGGCGGGTTGAGAAACAATGGCGGCAGCGAAACCAGCAATCAAACCGGAACCGAGGTTACCAATGGTCTGCTGGGCGTCGGAGAGGGACTCCTTGGGCCAGGCCTTGAAGACAGCCTCGGAAACACGCTCGAAGACGACGAACTTGGCCATGGTGTAAGGAATCCTTGAAGTGTGTGAGCGGATATTGACAAGATAAGCGGCTTGAACTGTTGCGAAGATAACTTACTGCTTGAAGAGGATAGGACCGAAACCGGCGTAGAAGGCACCGATACCCTCGTTCTTGAGCATCTTGGAGAAACCACCGATGAGGCCATTGGCATAGGTAGGCTCAGAGACGAGACGGATACGGGTAGCCTCAAGGGGGCAGAGGGCGATATCGGCGAAGAACTCGGCGGAGGCGGAGGAGGCAAGGTAGACGGCGGTACGGTTCTGGGAAGCAGTCTCGAGGCCGAGAGTGTTGATGGCCTGCTTCTTGAAGAACTCGTATCCACCGAACTTGAGGGCGCCCTGGAGGAAGTAACCGGCGAAGGTAGGGCCGGCACCAGTGAGGAGAGCACCAGCACCCTCAGCCTGGACGACCTGGCGGAAACCACCGATCAGACCACGGTTGTAGGTGACGGGGTCGAGCTGGATACGGGTCTTGACGCTGTATTCCAACCATTGTCAGCTTCTTATCGAGCAAAGTGGCCAAAGCGCATCAATTGAGAGCGGGCCAAGCCCAGCGCAGCCGGCGCATCTTCACGTCCCTCAACGCACGCGGAGAGCGACGATTCGGAGCTCTGAAATTCAACCAATTGGTAGGAGTTAAACATACACATCGACGGGGGTGAGACCACCGTGGGTGACGGAGCAGCAGATGGCACCGGCAAGGGCGAAGCGGGAGTAGAGGGCCAGCCCAGTGGGGGCGGGAGCATCAGCCTTCGCAGCCATTGTGAAAGAAGTGAAGCAGGAGACGAGGAACTAGGTTGAGAGGAGAGGTGATCTGGAGCTGCCGGCCTCGAGGTGGACGGAGAGATCTGGGTAGGGAAGATTGATGGACCTGGAGAAGGCTTGAGGGAGGGAGGGAGAAGATTTGAGACGGGATTGAGGTTGAGGTCTTTTTTTTTCTTCTCGGGGGTAAGGGGGGGCCCGGGGGAAGCGCGCCTATTCGCTTGTACTTGGCCCCTAAGCAACGCCCGTGGGGGACTTTCAGCAGGGAACAAAGTCTTAGCTGTGCTAAAGTGCTCGGGAACACTCGGGTAATCCAGGGCCAACGTCCGCTGCAGCCAATCACGCGACGCCGTTGGCTCTGTTTTTCACTTGCCAAGCTGGCCTCCAGTGTCCTCTAGTCATGATGGATCGTCAAAACACCGAGATCCCGGTCTGCCAGGGAAGAGTCCTTGTTTAACCTCTGCCACTGGACATACGATGCGTTGCCTTTGATGGA